CTCTATTTAATTTGCCTCATTAAGTACGCTACTAAGTCCATTTAAAAACAAATTTCCTACTTAGGACGGTTTCAGGTTCCCTTTATCACTGCTCGGTCATAAATATGGCCATACTCTTGGTTTAGGTTTGGCGTGAATCGTTAGGTGTACGTCTTATTTTGAGCCTTTTCAGATCGAATGGCTCAGACTCGAAAGGCATTGTTCTTTCTGCAATGGCGTGTCACCAATGCATGCATAGAGCGTTTGGTTAGTGACGTTCTGTTGCAGCACCAATAAGCAACCTGTAACATTGAAATACTAAATACATTACTGGGATTAGCCCTCGAATGCGTTTTACTTCGAAATCATGATCTCCCTTCTCTTGAACTTAGAGAACAGCGGCGTCGGGGCCGGGATATAGAGACACTTGCGGACACATGACCTACGACGAAATTACTCTTGTAGCATAACATTGGGTTTACCCGTCGTATTTATAGGGCTCTATTTCTGATAGCGATTTGGGTACTGGCCTATGCAAATGCTGTTGTTGCTTTTGTGGCCGTCGTCGGTTCAATATCGAAAGAAGCGGTCGTGTGTTCACTCGCTGTGTACGCCCTTCTGCGATTCGCCTTCAGCCTTGTTTAAGACCTCATTCTTGATTAATCAAGGTCCAGGTAAGCTAATGGGGAAGCGCGTCATGGGAGCTGTCAATATTATATGTATATATAAATTCTAATAATGATCGTTTGTCTGTTTTCACGTTAGCGATACATGAACTGATAACAAGCAATTGTTTACAAAACATACGAGTTGTTTATGTTTCCAATTGAGAAGTACTTAAGATTGGAAGAGGTCTTAAAATTACCCTGACAGGCTGCGAGAAGAGCTTGCCTTGAAGTGCTGATGTAATCTGGGTATTCGAGAGTGGCTTGCATAACGGTACGATTGAAGAACTTTAGCTGTATTAGCCCGATACGCCTAATTAAACGAATGTACGCAGTTCTTTTCAACCCATTACGAGCCCAGTGTATAGACAAAATGCTACAATATATAGTATCCCTTATGCAGTGTTTATGCAGGGCGTTAACAAGCAAACGTATTGCGGTGTACGGAAGTTGCTGATAGCTTGAATAATGGTTATTTTTAGGTTATAAAGCGTCACTTTTTATTGTTTGGTGCCGTCTTTAAGGCTAAAACGCTAGTAGTAAATCATAATTTTTCGTTTCCTTCCTAGTAGATCCAGTGACAGTACCTTTAGCTAGAAAATAAGACTACAATCTACAAAATGCTTCCTCCTTTTAATAAGATATTCTATTTTCTATTGTATCAAACTGCCTACGTGGAATCGACTTTTGTGTCTTTGCCCTGCTTTTATGAAATTACTCATCCTAGGTTCCTAATCGCTCAATGATATATAAATTTTTATAAATCTTAATTAAAAATATATATAACTTTATGTGCATCTACCTGCACGATTTTAGGTACAATTTTAGAGACCTGATGTAACTGTTTTATTGACTAACGGTAAAAGTAAGGGTAGTGGTTTTCTTCCTTTCAATGAAACTAATAAATATTAAAAGGCCAATGTCTGTGTTGCTATTTGTTCAGACACATTGACTTTGTCTTATGTATTTTCACCGATACCATCTTCGTTATCGTCGTCGTCGTCGTTATCGTCTGCCGCGCTATTTTTTTAAAGATGATTTTCAGAACGACCATCATGAGTAAGACGGTAATCATTTTTCTGCAGACGGATTGAATATGTGCTGCAATAAGCAATACGAAGTGTGATGTCTATAAAGGCAAGCAGCTGGCACAATTTGTCGTTGTCAAGGTGTACTCTCTTCAGCGATAGATCTATTACGTTCACAGAGATATTTATGATCATCACGAGGGAAGCAGTGAAGGGGCCACTTTCCGAGAAGCAACAACGCAGGCACAAGCGTTGGTACGGATGCAGACTCTCAACAACGAACATAAGGCATGTTTCTTTGGCATTTTTCCAGCAAAGATAGACAAAAAAAATCGAAAATCATTGTCTTCTTTTTTGGTACGGTATCGGGGTGGAAGACTTGAGAAATCCCTTAGGAACACAGCAATTTATGAACGAAAATTGGTCCTATCAATCATCTGCCAGATCGCGTCCGGCCTTGCACGGCATGAAAAAGGTCCTTGGAAATTTCAAGCCGTTAAACATCATCTTCAAAGAAGAAAATCGCGCCGAAGTAATGCTGAGAGATTATTGTCTCTCCCAAGAGTATCGCAGCGACCCTTCGACGCCCCTTCTATTTCAAATCAAAAGGGAGCTGATTAACTATGGGAGTAACGTTTAGAGCCCGGACGCCGTTTCTCGCTGCATCATCAACAACGACCGGCCGACGCATCTCGTAACGATAGAGTTCGTTACGCAAAAAGTAAAAATAAATCATCCTGATACTTTCAGGTTCAGGAAGACCTAGTCAGTCGAGTGCCAGCAAGTATTCGAACTTCTAAGTACAAAAATCCCGTTGACCGCTATACAGCCATATGTTACGCTAGGTAATTGTTACTGGACATATTTTCTGCAAACGATTTTTCTGGCTCATGTAAAACTAAGCACTGCATATTACTTTATCTTGCTTGCCTTATCGATGCGTTTTTAGTCACCACTACAATGCACTATTAAGTGATATCAGCTAATGGTGGTCTACGTGTCTTCGCGGTGCCATTAGGAGTCGCACTTTGATTTCTAATGCTGATATCGAATGAAGTTTAAAAAAAAAGTTCCCGACAAATATTCCAGATTCATCGGTATGGTAAAACGAAAAATAAGAAGTTAACTTATGGTAAAATATTTGTATATTATGCAATTTGTTTCTACGATTACAAATATGAAACAGGCCATCTTAGGAAAGTGTTGATTAGCAAAGGTTAGCGTGCCTCAACTTGTCTAAAAGTTTTTCAATTAAAAAAAAGGAATGTAGGTGTCGAGAAGTTTGCACGAAGCACAACTACTATTTAATGGTAGAAACGCATAGTTTTTATCTATGTAACAGCCTATTGATGAATTCCATCGTTAACATAGAAAATATCTAAGCTTAGCAAACAGCTGAAACTTTCAATGCCTAACATGTTGTTTGTATCGAATATTTACACAGTGATGTTGATCTTCGAAAGGAAACTTGAAGAAGTTGTTTGTATTCTTACCTCAAGAGCATTAGGGTCTGAGCTCTACAATACTACCATGTGGTAATATTTCTATGACTATGAAAAGATAGACGAGTACTTTTTCCCCCATGAACCCTAAAACTGGGTAAATAAGGATTCCGTTTTCTTTTTAAAGATATGGTTTTATCGTTTTGACGCCTATTGAATCTCGTTTGGGTAGAAAATAGCTTTTAGGCCCTTTTTGTCATAATTGCATTATATATCTATAAGAGGATAAGGCTATACGGGTCACTAATGTTTTCGTGAGAAAAAGCTTGTCATTTAAAAAAGTAAAGGGAAAAGGCATGTTATTACTACGCGGGCTGTGCTTATAATAGAAAATGCTTTTAAATAATTTACTACGTAACGTTTGTTTCATCTAGTGCTCACAAGTTCTACAATCCAATGTAAAGCCGGATTTGAATGGCCTAAATACAAGTATATCAATGATGTGCATTTTGTTCGAAATGTAAGGAGCAACACTAGCGACGAGCGCACCGTACTTTAGGGCCAACTTGGTCGTACTTAAGACTGTATAACTATCGTGTATAATTATGGGATAAATAACTATTCATCGTAAATTCAAATTCATGATCGTTGGTGCAATCATCAGCGGTATGCCGACCATATTGTCTTGTCCGAACGACGTATTATGCTTATGAAATCTTACGGTACAACGACTGAGCAACTTGACACATAGAGTCCTATTTCACGCTGACCCATTTTGACCGTAAAATGGTCATGTAATCTAACGCAATCCAATGAGTTTAATGAAGCATCACTATTTCTTTATCGCACAACAAAAGTTTGATAAAATGCGAAAAAACTTTCAGCATTAACTTTTTTAAACTTTCGGTAATTAAAGGAATCCAGTGAGGCGAAAAGCACTTGATTGCTGACCCAGATGCATGTGGAAGATTTTGTGCTACGGAAATGTACGGCGAATTGCCCAAGCTTGACTTGATTGCCCAAGCATTGACAAGCTTCAGCAAGCGGCGATACGAAACAAATACACTTGAAGGTTAGAAGGTCAGAAACTTGCAGTTTTCTAGGATATAGACCTGCCTGAAACTCGCAGTATGCCTTCGAGGTAAACTGAGGAATCAAGTTTGAGGATCTATTATTAGCTCTGAGGCAGCTCTGAACGACTTAGTGCATATCGCTGTGTTGTATATTGCTTCAAGAACCTTTAAAGTAGAAAAAAAATTAAGGGGCATAAGACAAACAACTATGCCAATTTATGGGCTTATCGATCTACACATTGATTCATACCATTGCCATACTCATCATCAGACGCAATATTCGGACACTCCAAGCCCAGCTGTTGACACCACGTACAAAACTGTTGTACGAAGTCCTCGTATATACATTTAGCAATGAAGGCCAACATTTCAGGTGACTCAGTGCTAAGTTTCGGGTAATCCGCATCAGCAAGTAATTCATTTCTCTCAAACGGGGAGAATTCTCAGAAAAAAAACAATTTTAGAAAAACGTCATAGTGCTACACGACAAGTGTATAAAACTTTAATTTTACATTAAGGTGTAGGGCTTCTGCATAGTTTTATGATTTTTTTTTAAAATTAGTTTGGTAGATAGCGCCTTTCTATAAGTAAAGTCGAAACATTTCTTTACATCTTTTTTTGTCGAAGCGCACCTCTCTCTCTGTATCGTAACACGGGCTGTAGGGTAGTGCCTGATCGGCGTTTATATTCAGTTGATATGGACATAAGAGGGAAGGGGCACGTCTAAACGACGCGCAAATAGAAAATTTCATTATTCGTGTTGTACGCTGTTTATATAGAGTAAACATCGTCTGCAACATTTGTATTGACACTTGCCAAAGCTGTTCTATTGTAACACTGATATGGACGAATCATCGGCTTGGTAAGTAACTACTGTGAGTTATTTTATATAAAATTTACACTATATCATTTAATTGTCGGCCAACTGTATGAATAACGAAGGAAGCAGGCCACGTTGAAAACACATTTGGATAAGAAAATGATTCTATTTAGAAGATTTGTTTTTAACATATCCTGATGTTTTTGTGCTATCATTGAGATCAGGTTTTGTCCACTTTGTGCACATAGTGAATATATACAATATATATATATATACAAACAAGGTCAAAACTTTAATATATTATCGGCGCTTTTGCACGTTTCGTACAAATATACAAAGCTATCACGGTAGGATTACAAGCTGATTGCCACGCGATCGGTGCTGATTTGCCTTTCAGAAATAGTTTACTCATCATTAAATCAGTTCCGAAGAGCTACGGTTGCCACTCACTTCTTACAAACAGTGGCCCAGTTATCGGGCTTCACTGTGCGTTCAATATATATTTAAATATAATATATTTAAATTAATGTGACAGACTGTATTTATAGCTCAGGTACACACCGACAACTATCCTATTATACTTCTCATGCTATGCGAGAGTCATTCTTCAGTCAGAATATTTGAATTTCCCTAGTGAAATAGTTTCAATGACCTCATGATGATCTTTGTTAACCACTTCTATTGAAAAGTTTCTGTAACCTCGTGACTTTTTTTTTCTTTTTTGCAATTAATCCATCCGTACCCTTTTGTCGAATTTGTTCTCTACCGTTTACATTAACATAACGTTTACCCGTTTTACACGAGAAAAAATAACCAAAGTTTACGCGCAGGCCATTCCAGGACAAAATGCCTAAAAGGTCAACTCTTAATATTTAGAGTGCTTTTTTTAAAACAATTCTAACATTTAATTCTTTTTTTTGGGTAGAGGAAATCATTACTTTAACAATAAGTTTGTAAATACAGTGACCGCACCGATCTATACTTTTGCTAGGCTATTTTTTAGTTATTCATTAGATACGCAGTAGTAGCTTATTTTTTTTATTTCGTCGCAGTCAGTATCTCGAAGTTTCAGCAGTCAAAATCTTAAAGCAATAAAGCTGTTTCTCGCTGAACCGCCTACAGGCAGATAATTCATAATAAGTTCGAAAATTCTTACGTTTACCGTGATGTATTTGATTATATTAAAAGAAAGCGTCTTCTCTATGCGTACCTTTGTTCATCCAAAGTTGTAACTGTCATTAGTGATATAAATGATATACTGTTTTGGGGTGGATTCATGTTTAGATATCGTCACGTACTTCGATTATAGCGAGCTCCAGGTTTCGAATGGCCTATCGTCTACCGAAAAAAACAACTGCAGAAAATTTTGGCCATGCCTGTACTCAACGTTCGCGATAAGGATTGCATAACCCCTCGGTGCCATAAGGGGCTGAAATATACGATGTATAAAACGAACTATTTCAGTCTCACCGTAGCTGTCAAATTGTTGAAGGTGAACGCTCGGTTGAAGGACAAATTAGAGCATCAACAGAGATTACGATACCTCAAATATGAGCAAATGCTACAAAGAGAGAGACAAATGGTACAGCAAGCCCGTGCACGAGTCGCACGACGTGCCGATCGTCGCGCACGAGCCCGAGGACGAGGGGGAAGAGGGGCCGCCGGCCGAGGACGGAGACGCGGCCGAGGAAGGGCCAGAGGAGGGGCGGTAGCCGGTGAAAGAGATCCCGAAGAAGCCATAGGTGTTAACGAGGAACCTGGAGTTGATGAAGCCCCACCTCCGCCCAGAGGAGCTGGTAGGGGATGGGGACGTGATCGAGAACGCGCGGGAGGACGAGGAGCGGCTGACAGGGAAAATGTCCAAGAGGCCGGACTCGTCAACGGAGACCCTATGGCGGCCTTAAATGAACAAGCAGTGGTTCGCCGACCGCAAGCACCAGTCGTCGGGCAGGGAGCGCCATTGTTGGATGAAAACGTTCAAGACCTTCTTGCTCCATTGATATGGGAAGAGGAAAGACTGCTCCAGCCACCACCACCGCTCAAAGACGACCTCATATCCCAGCTGCAAGCTCTTAGCCATGAAAATCTGGCACGCTTCATAGGGATATTTGCCGTATATACAAAGGGCAAACAGTATGCCAACTGTCCATGTTTCGAGTACGGAGAGGGTAGGGGACTTGAGAAAGCCCTCGGCTCTCATGAATTGATCCAGGCGAAACGGAACTACAGTATTATTTTCCAGATCGCGTCCGGCCTTGAATATCTCCATAGTAACGGCCTCGCCCACGGATATTTAACGCCTTCTAATGTCATCTTCAGAGATAAAGAACGAACCCGTGTAATGATTACCGATTTCTGCCTGCCTGAAAAGTATCATATTCGGTTTTCTTCGCCCTATTTAAATCGGACCGTGGAGGAACCCTACTCATCTGTATGCGATATATACAGTCTCGCGGCAGTCGCTGCTAGTATTATCCAAAATGAGACTTTTTTAGTTATTCCGAATCGAGGGCGCCTCCTAATGCAACAGGCTTTTGCAGACCTGCGTCAGGTGTATCGTCAACGCTACGACGTTATAATGAGCGGTTTGTTTGAAACCGATCAACTTCGACCCAGCGCAACAGAATTTAAAGATGCGTTCGCTCACTGACTGGCTTTTAAAATCCGACAGGATCGCCAACTAATATCAACTTAGTATCGCCTACCAGTATTGAGCTGGAATCGACAATAAAAGGAAAGTCAGGTCTCGACGATTTCAAATGCTCATAAATCTCGTACACGCATAATGGATACGCATATAACATCGGCTTGATATCATACCCCTAGGGTGAGCTAATTTTCGGTATGTAAAGGCGGCCAACGTTCGTACAATGTACATGTGTTATTGTGCAGTGGTCACAGGCAAAGTAGTTTCACTGGGTAAAATGCCACTTCATTTCAAAAAGTGTTTTTGTGTGAAAGGAGAAAGGGGGGCTTCTTTAAATTAGTTTGTCTACATACTAATTGTCGGAAATCGTTCAGTTTGATATATGCAGTAAGACCGTTTGGAGCTTGTAATGGCTCTTGCTGCTTTTTCGTTCTGTATTTTTGCTGAACAGATAATCCATGGAGTAAAGGATAGAAATCGTTTATTACGTAATCACGTTTGGTCTTAGAAGAGTTGTGTATGTCTAACCGTACTTATACTGAGTAAGTGACTAATAATGTAGATTATTAAATAAAATTGAAATGCACGCAGCTGGGTATTGATTGAAAATTCAAATACTGTCTCGTTTCTTTAGTCTATGCAATATATATGTCGCTTCTCAAGAAATTGTTGGCAAATATGAAGCGATTTTGGCCGAGGCAGTTATATTGAACAAACAAAGCTGTTACAGATTTTTCTGTCGACAAATCCAAGAACGGTTACGTGAACCCTATTTTCGTTTAGGAGTAGCCTATGAATAAGGGGCACAAAGCGCATTCAAACCTATTTAGATCAGAAAAGACTCTATTGGTTAAACGGCTGTGCTTTGTGGGCGCTGACTTGCTAGTGAAAGAATGTTTTGACTCCTCCTTGCTCCTTAGCAGTGATTTTCTTTAAGTATCACCGTATTTAGTTGCGAAGTTGGATATCAGCACGTACTTGTAGTTGGATCGGTACATTAAAATGTCCACAAATGTAATTATCCTAAAAAATACCACATATTATCGCCTCGTATCTGAACATCCAAAAATACTAATACACACTAGGTGCCTATAAAACATAAACAACAAAGATACATAAAACATTGTCATTAAAAAAAATTGGGACACCGACATTTTAATACGCTGAGTGAGTCGGAAAGTCAAAAATATCGTACCATGCAATTGAAAATCTCTTAAGTTCGATACAAAAAATAATGGAAATTGTGTTATTACAGACATTGTCTTAGATGGCTTTCTGCTATGTATCCTATAGACGCTTACCATAGTTTCCGAATTCTGCTTTAGATCTAAAGCTCATTATTGAGTCTCTCAAACTACAAAATTAAATACAGAAGAAGTTAGAAAACAGAATATTCTACATCAAATGTTAGACGTTCAGCCAGCAAATCGTAAAGCCACTAAAGAAAATATGGAAGACATGTTGCATACTTTAAATACTAGTGCCAGAACGCTTATTTTTTAAGTTACCAGACAGGACCTTGCGTTACACTGTACAAACTTTGATACAATATGCGAACTTCAGCATCGCTATTGATGCACACTAATGATTGCACAATACGGCGTACTCGTCAAGTGTAACAGTTCATTCGCGGAATCATAAACGATAACTTAAAAATTCCACCATACTAATAATCAACTCAAGCAGCTATTATCACTTACTATATTCAACAATAAGTTGCATTACCTTCTTTCTTCAGCTCGTTACGCTATGACGTAACATATTCGGTACGTATACCGTACCATAAACCGTGTGTGCATGTATGTGTGTCTGTATTGATAAAATAAAGGATTAAAAATTACTCCTGCTTTACGTAAAATTACTGGATCTTCTACTGGATTGGGAAAGATGGGCGCATATTAATTACAAATAAAAAAAATGTAAGGCTACTGTTGACGGCTAAACAGATCTGAACGGCAAGCTGACAAGTTGAGCGAAACCTCGTGCTTAACAGGCAGGTTCATTCCTTCAAAACTAGGTTAACAGGTTCCAGGTTCTTATCGTCTCAAATCGACTGACCTATATAACACGCTCTTTAGGCGTCGTGACGTAAATCCGTCTTTTGTCTATTACTGGTCAATTTAAACATCCTAAGTCTCTGTCCTTAAGTGCAAGGTGACTTACACATAGCGCTCATGCACGTACTACAGGTTTCAGCTATTCTTTACGTTGTAGGCTTTCGTAAGGGTCCGCTGACGCCCAGAACGAGTTACGACGAATTGTTCCAATTTCATGGACAAACCTGAACAAGTGGCAAATTTTTCTTCTTCGGTTCTACTTGTGCTGCTTGGTTGCGCAAACTCAATTTGCTCTTCGAATCCCGAAGGCCAACGAAAATCCACCTGTTCTTGCTTATTCTTAGCCTCGTGGTTGGAATAGAAATCAGATATTGCTATGAATCCCTGTGCCGTTGGTTGCAGGGCATCTTTCTCTAACAGAATTTTCTATGTGACTTCATAACGTTTGGGATACACAATCGAAGTTGGAATGAAACGATCAAGTATAATGCTGAGCTGTTCAATACGCGTCGCAGCAGAATGCTATCATGGCAAGCTAATAGGTGTTGGTAACGTGACTACGATCACCATCGGTGAGTGACTGAAACCTTGGACATTCGTGAGGATATCAATAAGCGGAGGAAAAGAAATCAAATGAGATTTCCATAGTAGCTGCGAGTGAACTGGAAATAAGCCTATTGCCAATTCTTATGTTTTGTACAATAAGAAATGAGGTGTAAAAGTGTTTTGTGTTTAATAGGAGTACAGCTTAATTATTATTGAGTGGGTGCTCAGAGAAGGTGAAAAGCCTGTGTCGTTGTACTGTTCTGTTGAACCGAAGCTCTTAAGAGTCTAGTTGTTTGAGAGAACAACTTAAAGATGGTGGTAAATTTCATCAAAGGCTAAATATATGAAGGGACTAATAGCGAACAAGTACCATGATGGACATTCGTGAGGAAGCATGGCTGTTAGATGATTTTCTATTCGACTGAAATCGACAATGGTTACATAACAAAAATTCGCATCCTTGGACAGAATATCGCTCGGCTTGAGGTTGTTGTGGATAATATTTTTGCCATGAAGATATACCAGACCCGACGCAACCTAGAATATAATCGACTTGCCAAGCTGGCTGTTGCTAATCTTTCGACGTTGCAGAGTTTCCTCGAGTGATCCACTTGGGGCAGCCAGAGTGACAGTTATCAAAGTTTCGGTTGACTCTAACCGCTCCAGGTAAGCAAATCGCGTTGTCGTGGCGCTTCAGGACCTGCGCGTCGTGTGGGATGTCATTATTCAGGGCTCGGTACTTCGGTGTGTAAATTTTTTTACGCGTAGCCCCGAATTTTCCCCAAGCGACCAACAAGCTGAACTTGGTTTGTACCATATTGGGACCTCTACTAGGCGTCTTGTTCACATCGCCACCTATAAGCTATAAACAAATTATAACTTAGCAAGTGCGAATAAAACTAACTATATATGCAATTGACGCAAGAACGGATATAGGTGGCTAAATATCAAGTAGTATTAAAAAATAAACCTGTAGTGCACATTGCGATAACATTATATGTATATATATATATTTGTTGGAACGCAGTTTAGCTTGTAGTTATATCGTTCTTATAGCCAAAGCAACCGCCAGAGAACCGTATAGTTGACATACTATTCAAAGAAACGATCAAAAATATATTCAGCAGTCCCTTAATAATTGGACGAGAACATATTCTAAAAAAAGCCATTTGCTAAAATATAATGAATTTATTATTAGTTAATTTGCAAATTTTGCGAAAATTTGTCATGCATAGTTAAAGGTCCGTGGATCCGTTACGTATTATTTGCCAACAAAAAAAGCCGTCTCTTTTTTGCTTCGTTGCCAATCTTAGGGCAGTCGTTTTCCTCAGCTCCTCACTGACACTCTCTCCCACATGGCCGCTGCCGCGAAAATTCAAACAGAGTTATGTCGGGAAAGAGAAGACAACATATGATAGCGTTAGCAAGCACGTGTTTCAAGCAAGCACGTCGCCCCAACAAGTTGATTTTAATCATTTGTATACTGTACTCCGTTTGTACAGTGAGTAAATGAAGGTAGAAATCATTCTTTGCTACTATTGTTGTACAATGTAGAGCAATGCTGCACATGTGCAATGAGTGATTGGAAAAAGGCACCACATAGCTTACTTATAAAAGAAAGCTTAAATACGGCCTCGTAATCAGCTGTGATTGATTTGAATACGAAGTGACTGAAACCGCTTTTAAATGATCTCAATTGAATGTTTTTTTTTGTTGCATGTTTAGTTTATTTCTGATCTAGTTTATCGATGTATTCCTGAGGAAATAACCTACATATGCTAGGCTTATAAAATGGCTACATACCCAAGCAGGCATGTACCTATCATCCGCCGTATCGCAGCACGTTCAGCCTACCCGCATAGTGAAAGCAAACAACATCGAGATATTGAACGAAGCAATTTTTTTTCCAAAGACGTAATTCATACGCATATCCTGATTGCAGATTTTGTCCTGGTCGATAATTGCGGTTACGCGAGCTACGCAGGAGCTAATTACTATCGTCGTATCACCGTCGGACGAAGGATACGACCGCAGTAAACTGCTATAGGATTCAAGCGAAAAGAACTATGCTAAATATTGGACCATACGTAGTGTTCACTCTGCTGGTAGATCACAATATAAAGTACTTCTGTATATTCAACTGTTCAAAAGCTGTTTTGGTATTAGGCATAGTATCTATTTTTATAGGCAACTGACGACCTCAACTGGCCACAGTTAGACGAACCAATAGTCATAAACGGTTCAAGCAGTTAGTTATCGAATGCGGAAACATTAGCATCCGAGTACCCTCGTCTTGTCTGACGGCAAGCTAAAATCAGTGGAATACTATCTGCGCCAAAAGGTTCAATAACATGTTACCTATACACTGATCGTTGATTAATTAGAAGCGGCAAGATAACTTAGAACTGCCAACAATTACGTTTACTCAAAACGTACACTGCTGATTGTTCAAGTACTATCTTTAGAATCGTTATTATCATTAACAAGTCTTTTTATCAGTTAACACGTTGCATTACAACTAAGCATGAAACGAAGTTTAATTTAGCTTTATTTGTGTATTGTAATAGATGAAATGGTGCTTACTAGTTGTGGTTAGTTCATCAAAAGTGTCCGGGCACAGACGATTTCGTTCAAGAAAGCTGAGCGAAAAGTAAGGCGATAACGAGTCTTAAAGAGAAACCTTGAAACCCGGCAACAGCTTAAATATAGTTGTTCTTTTTTGTGCCTTAATATTTCATCGTTCATAAAAACCGATGTCATCAATATCTGAAGCTGGAAAAGAAAAAAAAACTGTAGAACTTGGGCGCATGAAGTTCGCTTTTATATCTTCCTGCCTCGTGTCGGCAGCCTGCGGTAACGACAGCCGGGAAAGAAAGCATCTAGCACTAGGACTTCGGTTGGCTAATAAGTTCTGGAGTTCGTCATATCTGATTCGATTCTGTTCACTACTTGACGCTCTGCTGTAG